GGGGGTGTGCAGGAGGCAGCCAGTGGATGCTCCTCTCTCTAAAATCAATGAAAACGTATTTTAAAATGAGTAAATAAATAAAATGATGTCATATAGGTGGAGGTGGGCAAAGGAGCAGAAAATGGGGACGGAAAGAGACTTTGCTTCGGTCCCTGATGAGATGATGTTTACGCCCTTGTACACTTGAAACCCGTGTCACCCCAATCAATTCAATAGAAAAAACCGATGACAACTTTTTAATGGACACACACAAAAAAATGACACCATGTAAATGTTTGCAAATTGCTTCTTTCAGTATGTCGACAGTTTTCTAGGTGAATACACAATCACATCAAATACATCGTTTGTTTGTTTTTTTGTTTTGTTTTTTAAATTCTCACCCGAGGATATGTTTAGAGAGAGGGCGTGGGAGAGCGAGAGAGAAACATCCATGGGTTGCACCAATACGTAAGTCAACAGCAAGCATGAATTATGCTTCATCGTACAGTTGTGTCTATTACACAGTTTTAAAAACGGCATAGCGACGACAGGAAATATGCGCTGAGAGGGCGCCTCACGCACTGCCCCCAGAAATCCACTTTGGAAAGCGGCACCCACCGTTTCTCCAAGAGAACTTTTCCAGGTGTTACTTGAAAAAGCGGACAGCCTGGCCCAGCGGGCTCAGGGCTGATCGTGGACCTGGGGTCCAGGATCAGGTTCGATTGCGGTCAGGGCACACACCCGGCTGTGGGCTCGACCAATGACTCTCATCATTGATGTTTCTCTCTCTCTCTCCCTCTCCTTTCCTCTCTCTGAAATCAATAAAGATATATATATATTTTTTTTTAAAAAAGAAAAAGCTGACAGATGACAGAGCACTGGGTAAACTCTTGCTACTTACGAACCCGGGAATAAAAGAACTTGTGCTTCTATGAAACTCAAGCACCAAAAAAGTCAGGAGGCTCACAGCGTCAGCAAAAGCCTTCCGAGTACAGTAGTTCCCACGCGGGCTCCTCGCCTTCCAGGGAAATCCTGGGAGAAGCTGAGTCTGCGCACAGACATTTGCCCCATTCCAAAATGGCGGCTCCGGCGCCCAGAGCGCGAGTGCTGCGCATATCCGGAAGTTACCCCATCCCATAAGGTAGCGCGCCGCTCCCCGTGGGGAGTTTCCGCCATTTTTGAA